TTAAGAAAGATGATATTCAGAGTATATATAGTCTGGAGGGAGGGAGTTGATAGGAACTGGTCAACACAGGACATTCTCAACAGTGATATCAATGTAGGAAGAATTTGGAGTTAAAAAAAGTAGTATCACGTCAAAGTAACTCTAAGTTTCCTCACAAAGGGCTGATATGATAAGTCTTTATAAATCTAAGCATACATTGCACAGTGCTTCTCTATAATAGACACAATAATTTTATTTTTTCTAAACTAAACTAAATTCCTACAGCAGTTTCATGGCCTTCGGAAAAACAATACAGTTCACACTGATAAAAAGTTTTCTTTGTCAACCTCCTCTAGATAAGAATTTTCTAAAAAAAATCTGAAGTAATATTCAAGTCAGTATTACAGATAGAGTCTATCCATTATACACTACAATGGGACCAATTCCTTTGTCCTAGACAAAACTATTAACATGGCCTATGATTTCATCAGTTACTTTGGTAGTCAAATCCCCAAGTTATCAGTGAGGTAAATTCACAAGAACTACTTTTAGGTCAGTTCTTCCCCAATGTATAAAAAAAACACCCAAGTAGTAAAACTGAGCTTTATCATTTTGGTTTCTTTCAGCTTGTTTAGACCTTCTTAAACTGTTATCTAGACCACCTAATCTATCATCACCTACAAAGGCCTTTAGTACCACAAAGACTTCCTGGGGGGTGGACTTATTAATCAACAGCCAATACTTTGGATAATGCAGGAAACTGCCATATTTTTCTGACCATAAGATGCACCTCGGTTTTAGAGGAAAATAGGAAAAACAATTTTGAAGCAAAAAAATATGGTAAAATATTTAATAACATAAATAACATAACATTTCACCAATGTACATGTAAAGCTACATTAGGACTATAAGACACACCCCGCTTTTCTCCCAAATTGCAAGGAAGGTGCGTCTTATAGTCTGAAAAATACAGTGTTAATTCAACTGGACAAAACATGTATGACTACCTACAGGCATTGTTGTAGTCAGTAAAACAGAGAAAAATTAACTCAATCCCTGCACTCAACTCAAAAGTCTAGTACACTTACAATACAATTGTTAAAATAGAAGTGCTATATAAAGTGCTATGAGGACAAAGATAAGGAACAATTCAATTGTTGAGATGAGGTGGGAGCTGGAGAGGTGTCTCTGAGCAGGATGTCCTCTGCACTGCTATTTCCTTAAACTTTTCATTTCCATTCCCCTTCGTTGCCTTTATCTTAAAACATTTATGCTTCGTCCTTCCCCCAATCTATAAAATGTGTGTTTGGCTGGAAACCTAAAACCGTATTCTACCTGTTTCCTATATATCATATCAACCCATGTTTACAGGCAGAACATAGGCCAGTAACTTAAATAATCCAATGACTCTACTATCCAATCTACATTTTCAATTTCTTCCCAAAGACATGAGCTTTGTCAAATACACTTAGCTAATAATACAATAAAAATAACAATGGTATTTAAATTATACACTCTTAAAACTAAGGGCCAAAAATCACACAGACCAGGAAACTAAGGCATTAAGAAAGGGATATAAGCCCCTATAAATCAAGTCAGATATTTGAAACTACTCTATACATACACTCACAATCATATATGGATTTTTTTCTTTTGAACTTTAATTGGCTCCTCAAAAAACTAAAATGCCACCTCTTAATAAATAAAACTTTCTGATTAAACAAAGAACTTCTCCTATCATTAATTTCCTTATTTGTGAAAAGAGTTAATAATTACAAAAATCTGTGCTTTGTGAAATCATTAATAATATTTGGATTCTTTCTGATTCAACCATTCTTCCTGTGGTAATAAGAAATAAACACAATAAACAATGCCTAAGATTCTACCTAATAATTACATTGCATCCTGAAAAAAGACACTGTCCAATCCATGTTTGATATTACCAAGAACACAGAACCCAGAACTGTATCTCTACCTTACTTAAATATTCATTTGGAACACTAGAAATTCCCTAAAACACTGCTCAAAAGTGTAGCTCTTTACTTTATATCCCCACACAACTGCACATGAAGTCTGACACAACCCACTTGGCCTATCACTATTAGTTCTGTCCCACAGAATCAGTATTAGAGTGACTCTCTATTACTTTATTCTTGATTTTAACATAACACATAAGAAATCACTGACAGCAATACAACTCCAATGAATATTATAAGAAATAACCTTAAGTTTGAGTGCATAACTATCAATACATATCAGTTTTTGTAATAACATGGTCTCAATAACTAAAACTTCGGGACAGTAATGAGATTCTAAACCTGAAATAACGTGAGAACTGGTTTCTATATTCAAACTTTCAAGAGACTTTTCCCAACCTCAAATTCCTCAATGGCAAGAGCACATAGTATAATATAGGAGTCTGTTACAATCCACTGAAAGCACAATAACCTTTTTCAAAACTGAAAACAGTAAAAACAGGAAGTCTAGTCAAATTTTTCTAAGGTCTCTTATGGTCCCAATAGTCCTCTACACCAACTCCTACTTATCTAAGGTTTAAGTATCCAGTTGATATTCGTTGATTCCACATTATTTAGTTCCTAATAAATGTTTCCCTCAAATCCTCAAACCACTAAAATATTTCAAACATGGAGATTAAATTCTAGGAGAAAATTTTCTAGTATTTTTTTATAATTCTCAAAAAAAGACACTAGGACAGAAATTCCCATCTCTTCTACACTTTACCTTTTCAAATTGCTGTTCTATTAAAATGCTTAAAGTAGCCCTGACCTGTGAGGCCCAGTTGGCTGGGTGACTTTGGGTGAAGAAAAGAGTGAGGGTTGCAGCCTGGTCCCCAGTCCCTCCGGCAACCAACTGATGTTTCTCACATTCATTTTTCTCTCCCTCTTTCTCCCTCCCCTCCCTTCTAATAATGAATAAGTATTTTTTAAGTGCTAAAAGTAAATAACCCAATTACAGGAGACAGTGGAGGAGGGGCAGTAATTGCTTCTGAATGTATTATAATCTTAAATTAAAATTTAAAAATATTAGGGTTTGGGGGTGGATGGAGCCAGCAAAAAAAGAAAAAATTCATGGACCTCGACAACAGTGTGGTGATTGGGGCAGGTGGCAGCAGCGGAGGTTGAAAGAGGGTATAAGAGGGATGAATCGTAATGGGAAAAATACATTAAAAAATAAACTATTTAAAAAATTAAAAATTGTAGTTTAGTCTTCACTAAAATATTACACTGTTTCTCCTAAAAACTGTTTTTCTATAATGTGATACAAAGTGACTTTTTTGAACCTAAATTAAGAGTTAAATCTAAATAATATTCTTCCACTGTTTTCCTTTGTGTACTTTTTAAAATCTGAAATTTGAGTCATTTAATCATGTAAAAATTAAAATGCTTTCTAACTATAAAAGTGGAAAATAAAACTATACCCATTTCCTTTAATAGATGGCACACTATAATTAAATATAGAAGGGACCAAACCACACACTATAATCAATTACAGAACATACAAAACCAAAGGGAAAAGACCAGTAACACTTGAGAATCCAACCAAAGCAAAGGGTTAAATTTTACATAATTCACCTGTTCTATATTCCTCCCCAATATAAGAACAATTAATGCTATCTAAGAACCGAAATGAAGAGGCTCCTGAGATATTTTCTCTTGGGTGGTATGTTTACAGACTAAGCTAACACTTGTCCACAATGTAACAGGAGATTCCTGGGCTGGCTAAGTAGGTGTTCAACTCGATGAATTCTAAAGCCTCTTTCAGTTCTAAGCTTCCCAATCTGTAAAATGTGAAAAATAACAAAACGTTTTGCCCTTCAATTAACCGATCTGCTCTCATTTAAATCCTAAGAGCACGTAAAGAGACTAAAAAGTTCTTTCTCCCCTTTCTCTGCCGTGATTTCACGAGATCGTCGTTAACAAAAGGCACGGAAAATATGCACAGGTGGGATAACAGGGGAGTGGCCGAGGCCAGGCGGCTCTCGGGACAGCGCCCCCACGCCCCTTGTCCCTCCGCCGCACCTGAGTAATCACTGCCCTCACACCTCCACCCTACCCTGGCGGCGTCGCGAGCGAATTGTGCGACCGATTCCAGTCCACCCGCACCCTGCCCAGACACTGGGCATTGTCTGGAGCTTTCAGCGCCCAAAAAAGGCAAGGAAGAAAGAGGAAGGAAAGAAGGAAAACGTGTGAGAATAAAGAACGGTAGGAGAAGTAAAGCAAACGGGAAGCCGTACACTCCTTTGGGCAAAATTGGCTTCCCTGTCGATCACTCAATTTAATTCAGATCCCAAAAGCCACCGCCTCCCCACCCCCCAGCCCCAGGTAGCAGCCAGAGGTGGCCCAGCGGGAGTCCCTGAAGCTTCGGGGTCCGAAGCCCGGAGACCGGAGAGGGAAATGGGCGTGTAGGCTGGGCCTGACTGCCCCGAATCCGGGCTACAAACAAAGCCGCCCGACTCCCCTACCTGGGGAGAGCGCGGCGGACGGCGCCGGGCAGCGCCTAGAGGCTCCCCGCGCAGCCCCAGCCCGGCGACGCCCTCGCCCCGGGGACCCCCGCCAGGGCGGGGGTCGGCGGGCCCCTCCCCGACCGCGAACAGCGCCCCTTCGGGACAATGGGCCCCCTCCCCCGCCTCCAAGCGGGGAGATACAAAGGCACAGAAGCGCGGGCCCGGCGCGCAGCCAGACGCCGGTAAAGTAAAGGCGGAGGAGAGAGAGGGCTCGAGAGAAGACGGCGGTGGACGCGGGAGCCCAAGGGCCGCTCCTCCCGCCATCCAAGGCGCAGCCCTCAGCCCCACCGCGGCGGCAGAGGCGGGAGTGCACACCAGCAGCCCCTCCGCCCCCGGCCCCTCGAGAGGGTCTGCACACAAAGAGGTGCGGGACCCCAACCTCCGCCAGGGGCGGGGACGGCTCCGTGCGCCGTGACCGACGACGGTCGGCGGCACCCACCCTGCCCGCGCCCCTCGGGGCAAGGGTCCGCGCGGGGATCCCCCAGCCCGGACTCACCCACAGCTCCGTGCCCCAGCTCATGGCGGAACTTGAAGCGACTCGGCCGTCTGGCTGCCCCGCTCTCCGTCGGTTGGTTCTGCCGTGAGTCTGTACGACCTCCCACTGGCTGGCCCACGGGCTCGCGGTTCTGCAGCTCTGCCTCCGAAGGTGCCGCCACCGCCAGGCTCCCCAGTGAGTGAGAAAGAGTCGACCAGAGAAGCCGACGCCACCGCCGCGTCCCCGCCTCCAGGAGCTGGCAGGGAGGGGGCCGGGGACTAGGGGAGGCGGGACGGGGAGAGGGGAGGGGGCGGGGCGCGGTGCACCCTGGGATCGGGGCGGACCCACTCTCTCCCGGCCACAGCCGGCGGGGTCCTACAGCTAGAGGGTCAACCACCTGTCCGGCTCCGGGCAGGATCTCTTCCCTCCTGCACCTCGGGCGTCGGACAGTCTCACCGCCGCTGCCACTCGGATCCCTTTCTCCAAGATGGAAAGGCAGAGAAGGAAAAGACGCCCACTGCCCTTCTCTTATCCTGAGTCCCCTTAGATGAGCAACCCCAATCACCCGCCTTCTTGCCTCTTCTCCACAGGAGAAACCCTGACAAGGAAACCTCTTCCAGATCTTTCGGTTTAGACTGTAGAGGGATGCATCTATAAGAAAAACGATTTGATGGTTAAAGTGATCTTGGGAATCACTAAAATGTGTAGAGGTGAATATCAAATGTGAATGCAACGTGCCCCTGATTCTATTTTTTATTTTATTTCATTTTGTAATTTCTGTCAACATTCATTTTGGGATGTTGCCATGATGAGGTGGAAAACAGGGACAATCGTGTGCCATACTCTCACCTGCAGAAATGAGAATAGAGCTTACCTGTGTTCTGGAATGGGCACCTTGTGTATGGGGATTGTGCGGGAGCCAGACTCGTCCCCAGCTGTGCAAAGAGCCTATTCAGACTTCAGATACCTCTCATTCGGAATGTCGGAACCTTGAAGGAAGGTCCACAATTCCTTTTATCTTCCGTGGAGTTACTTCCCAGTCTTTCTGAGCAGTCATTAACTGCAGACAGAAAGTGCTGTTATATGTCAAGTAAGCATAACAACTCCCTAACATGCTGTAGCATTAATTGCTCATCTTCTAAACACACACACTTTCAATCCAATCACTAGTAGAGTACTCCTCAGCCTGTCGTGACAGCTGAGTGTCTTAAGAAGTTCTCCCTTAAAATGAACCCTCATAAGCAGCTGGGAATGTAAACTGATACAGTATGGAGGGTCCTCCAAAAATTAAGGATAGAACTACCTTATGGCCCAGCAATTCCTCTTCTAGGTATCTATCCCTCCCTCCAAAGTGGAAACATTTATTCATAAAGATAAGTACCTCTATGTTTATGGCAGCATTATTTATGGTAGCCAAGTACCCTTCAATAGAGGATTGGATAAAGAAGATGTACATATATACAATGGAATACCACTCTGTCATTAAAAAGGATAGAACTGCAATTTGTGACAACATGGATCTTGACAATATAATGCTAGGACAAGAACCATATGATGACATTCATGTGGAATATAAAACCTAAAGCAACAAACCAACAGACAAAAGAAACAAACTCATAAACACAACAGTACAAAGGTTACCAGAAGGAAAGGAGGGGCAGGAGAACATGAAGAGAGTAAAGGGGGTCAAATGCATGGTGACAAGGAAGACTAGACTTTGAATGGTAAGCATACAGTGCAATATACAGATATAGAATTGACACTTAAAACATGTTATAACCAGTGTCATCCCAATAAAATTTTAAAAATAAATAATAAAAATAAAAAGTACTCCCCACCAGTGTATCTGCATTTGAAACTCCACCCCTATAGGTGCCTGCTTGGGTGCCCCAATCTCTTCACTTCAGTCATTGTCTCTTCGTAGCTGTGCTCCCTCTTCTGGTTAAGGCAAACAGCCTGAATCCTGGTAACAGTCCAGCTACCACTCTTGCTAAATTCTTTGCCGCGCTTCTAGAGACCAGCTTGAGCTTACAAACACCCTCTTTCAAATGGGTTATGGCCAAATTTGAAATGCCTAAGTATGCCAGTATTTTTCTTTGCTGCTTCTATTTCAGCTAGATTTTATGTGAAGTTATTTATGTCACCTAACACTCCTATCAACCTCTCCTCTCCCTTCCTCTCACTCCCTAGACATCATGAATGTACGATACCTGTCTGGAGAAAGTCCAGCCATTGTTAATATAATGAGAATGGCTTGTGCAATATCAGTGTAACCTTGCAGCCAAGGAGAGTGGACTGAAATGCACATACATGAACAATGATGACTTCACTGTACTAGTCAGTGGGGGAAGTAGATGCTGTTGAGTGAGCATGTGTACTGTGTGGCTGTCGCATTCACAATGAGCGATTAGAGCAATGAATCTGCATCAAATTTTGTGTTAAACTTGAACTATTTGGATGATTCTACAACTCTGCAGAAACTATTTGGATGATTCATAAGGCCACAGCTATAGACAACTGATGATTAGGAACTTCATCACGACAATGTGCCTGCTCATGCATCGCATCAGTCTCATGCAGTTTTTTTGCCAAACATCAAGTCATTCAGGTGACTCAGCTCCACTACCTCCCAGGTTTTGCAGCCTGCAACTTCTGGCTTTTCCCAAACTAAAATCACTTTAGAAAGGGAAGAGATTCCAGACCATCAATAAGATTTGGGAAAATACAACGGGGCAGCTGATGGCGATGGGGAAAACTGTGTGATGTCCCAAGGTAACTACTTTGAAGGGGACTGAGGCATTATTGTCCTATGTACAATGTTTCTTATATCTTGTATCTTCTTCAATAAATGTCTCTATTTTTCATGTTGCATGGCTAGATACCTTCTGGGCAGGCCTCTATTCCAGATGATACCCCCAATCATATTTTGCATCATTAAGTGATACAAAATTCTGTCAAACCAACTATCTCGTACTTTTTGCTACTTGACCTATTTTGGCAATGACTGACCACATAGTTTCTATTTCATATTACCTATTTTATAAGGTAATCAACACTAAGAGAGAATCAAGGAAATATTCTAGCTTTCTCCACACATTTTGACAATGGAGCTACTCTATTGAGTAAACTCAAAAGATCTCAAATCATACAGGTTCATTTGCAATTTTTAAAATTATTACATTATCTTTTTATTAGTGATGAAAAATAAACTTTTACTTAAACTTTCCCTTTAGTCTTATGTTTGAACTCAGCTCTATGATAAACCATCAAAGTGCTACATTTTCTTGATACTTTATCATGTAACATTCCAAATGTAAAGTTCCTTTTATAATTTCTTTACGTTATAACCATTTAGCTAATGCTCCTTCCAATCTCATTTTTTCGCTGCATGAATTCCCTTATTAAGTCAGACCATGAAACATAGTTGTTCACTGCTGCATTCTGGAATATAAAATAATTTACTAGTCCAAATACATCTACCTCCAACCATAAATCAATCCCTTAATATTAAATTTTTGCAAAAGCTTATTCCATATATAAAACTAGTAGTGTCTGAAGCACTTTTTTGAAAAGTGATCTGGAGAAAAAATAAAACTTTAGATAAGCTTATTTGTAGTGTAGAAAACTTTTCTGAATATATGTGTATCAATGTCTCAACCATAAATGGTTACCAATCATATAGAATTTCCACTATTGAAAGGAAACAATCTCTAGGATAAACAATAGCAACTCAATGTCATTCAAATATCTTAAGACAATTTTTTGTTAAGATTCTATTTATTTCTTAGAGAGAAGGGAGGGAGAAAGGGAGAGAAACATCCATCACCTGCCTCTCACACATCCCCAACTGGGGGCCTGGCCAGCAACCCAGGCATGTGCCCTGCCCTGGAATTGAATAGGGGGACCCTTCAGTTTGCAGGCTGGCACTCAATCCCCTGGGCCACACCAGCCAGGGCCAAGTATTTTAGGACTATTCAAATAAAAACTATAACAGCACTGTCCACAAATAGAATGATCTACATAGGTAGGCCAGAAGAATCAAGCTAAAAGTATTTTAAGAAGAATATCAAAAAAATGTACTTTGCGCCTTAATTTTAATGTTTTAAATAATGCACCGCGCTGGAAACAGGGTCGTACTAGACTAGGGATCTATGGCAGCCAAATGAAGAATGGTGCTGCCTAGTTAACAGTCATTGCTTCTTTCTGCACTGCCAGTTTTCCTAACCAAGAATTGGAAGAAATTCAAGACTTCAATAGCATACTTAAAGGTGGCTCACTGAAGAAAAAGAACACAGAAATACTGTACTATTTTGTTTTGGGGGAATCTGCTCTTTGTTATTGAATCCAGTTAAAGCATTTTTTTATATTTGCTTGAATGAAACTTGGCAAGAAGTAAAAGAAAATTCTATATAAATCAAATGGAATAGATCTGTTTAAAGAGGTAACTCATTCCCTGGCTGGTGTGGCTCCGTGGGTTGAACGCCCAGGGGTCACCAGTTCCGTTCCCAGTGGGTACACGCGCACGGTTTCCGGGCCAGGTCAGGTCCCCAGTAGGGGGCGTGCATGAGAGACAACCACACATGGACGTTTCTGTCCCTCCGTCCCTCTTTTCCCCCTGTCTAAAATAAATAAATAAATAGATAAATAAATAGATAAATAAATAAATAAATAAGGTCTTTAAAATAACGAGGTAACTCATTTCTACTTTCCTATGATACTAGGTTCTTTTCCACTGCTTGTTACAGAACTGTGCAGCTTTAAAAACATGTAGGTATTTATTTAGGCTTAATTCTCTTTAGGGCCAGAAGACTTGGTAAAATAAAAGTTACAGATTTCTTCAGGTTTATTACATCTCCCCAAACCTATTCAAAATTTCCACTAATTAACATTTTTAAATGTTTTTTATTTTGTGTGTGTGTTTTGGGGGGGTGGCTGTGTTGACAAATTTCAAGATATGCACATGAATTAGCAGAAAGAACACCTAGTTCTTTATTTTATTTCTATGAAATCTAATCAGGTGTACCATTCACACTTACAGAACTGGAATCAGCTTTTACAGGCTCACAAAGAAACAACGGTTAAGTTTTCAGGAATTTTGCAAATAGTTTAAAAAAGTTAGCTTTGTATTAGTCGGATGAGAGTATTCACCCCATGGAAAGTGGCAGATGCTACAAATCAGGGTTTTTTCCCTTGGAAAACTAATTGTTAAACATCAGCACACCATTGTATAAATCCTTTGCAGATTAACAATGAA